AGAGCTCGTCTGCGGGCTCGGTAACGCCAGCAGAGCCGCCGGAGCTTTGCACAAAGGCACGAAGCCGCCGTTCGTCCTTGGGAGTGTTTGCTTCCCCAAGTGGCGGTACTCGTGGAGGGAAACAAACTGCAATAAAACAATAAAGAGTAATAAAATAAATAACGCAGCGCTCTCCAGCAGAGCATGTTTGCCCTGGAATTAGCTGTGAGGTTTTTTTATTCTGAGCGGTACCCAGAGACCCCGAGAGGGGTGAAGGTGCTGCGCGGGGGAAGCTAGGCACGCAGGGGAGCAAACGCGGGGCCTGGGCCGAAGGGTTTCGTAGGGTTTTCCCCTGATCCTGGCTTTTCTGGTTTGCTCTCCTTTTATCAGGCGGGGGCTCGGCTCAGAAATCCCCGCGGAGGCCGGGTTTCCTTCGGGTGGGTGCGTACGGCCCTGGCGTGCTCAGCCTCCGCCGCGCCCCTGTTGTCCCTCCCTGCTCCTCCCTTCCCCCCTGCCCGAGCAGGGCCCCGCCGCACCGGGCAGGCCCGGCGGCCGCCCCTGTAGCCGCCTGGGGAACGTCTCCCTCCGTGGTTTCACCTCCTCCTGATCATCTGACATGTGACAGCAGCCTGGCCGGTCGCTCACAGATGCGCCTGCGGTTAAAAGTCTTTATCTCCTCCTTCCTCATGTGTTTCTGCCGGAGGAATCCCGTTCCTCGCCCCCAGCCAGGCTTGTGGAGAGTCACACGCTGGGATGGCGGGGGAAAACCGGTCATCCCAGCGGGAGGGGGTGATTTAATGTCAGGGGACCTCGGGACCCTGTGATGGTTTGCTTTCTCACCGTTCCACTACAAGCAAGGTGATGCTTTTGCAACCACGTGCTTTTGCTTATTTGTCCCACCCTGAGTATGTAAATAAAGACTAGTTTGAGCTGTTTATTTTTGCTTGCTCTTGGGTTAACTCTAATGATGTTAGGATAAAGCCAGGAAAGTATCACAGGCAGGGTCCCAGGGGGGCTGGTATTAATGCAGGTACCTGCAATGGTTGATAAATCCTCAATCAGGCATACGGGAACACTTAATATTTTAAAAAACCATATTGCTATGTTTCTCCAGTTATTATCAATGTGGTGTCCCAAAAGCAGATGACTTTGGAGGAGCGAATCACGAACTCCTGGGAGAAAAGGCGGGGGATCACCATGCCTGCTTTCCGTATCACAACGGCTTTCCTGCTCTCTCCTCCAGGGTGTATTAGACTGATCCCACTGCATTTCCCCATGTTGTGACTGCATTCACTGTGAACACCTTTTGGAGAATGGATATAGCCCCAAAAAATAGACACTCTTACTTTCTAATTGCCTTACTTTTTACCAGTGTTAAGTGTCAGAAGTGCGACAAGTACCTTCAAAGCACTTTAGGATGTTGCTCAGATGGTTACTGCAGACCGAAAGAATGAGAAAGAGGCCAGCTGGCCTCACTCAGAGTTAATTTAATCTAATTAATAATCCACTACGCTGAGGAGTGACTCAGGTGCTGGGGGCAGATTTTTTGAGTGCTAGGAGAGGTGAGCGTAACTACGGAGAACAGCTACTTCTTTGCACCTTTTTCTTATCACTGGCTGGTTTTTCCTTCTGCTAGCTATGTGGTATGGTGGTGTTTTTTTCTCACTCAGAATTATGGTCTAGGTTTTCTTCCTTACTGGGCTGTGATTTTGTTGGTCATCTTGTTCCTGATAGCTTAATGTAAACCGTTTTTAGGTTTCGTTGTGCTTTGTTTTCCCCTTGTTATTCTGGTCTGTGGTATCTGGGTTTGGGGAGTTCCTTTAACTCTATTCAAGCACACTGTATTGAAGAGATCTGTCTGTGAGTTGAATTCACTCTATTCTCCTCTGCAACGTATGCTTAAATCATCTTGTATCTGTTTTGGTGGAAAACTGAGCTTGTTTCAGCTATTCAGAAGTCGGTGATAATAAAACCTCTGGTATAGCGTTGAACGCGAGAGCGGCTTGCGATGCATTTCAATATGAATTCTGATGATTTGTAGCAAAAAGAGCATGTTCTGGCTGAAAGAACAGTAAAATTGATTAGTCTCTGTATGTGGATTTTCCCAAGAACCTGACTCCTGTATTCAGTGCTCCTGTAGGGCCTGCAGGTGCATCTGTTTACCGAGCTGCAAGTGCAATGCTGTTAGAGGGATTCGGAGTCATTGGGTGTAGCCAGCTCGTAAAGTGGAACTGTAGACTTCTTCCTCTTGTAATAGAGCTGGTTGGATTACAGAAATGAAGAACTCGAGTATCAGTCTTGCTGGAAAGAATGTATCTGTTGGCTTTCTTAGCCTTTTCTCCTGGTGTTTCTGCACCTTAACACAAGCTCCCTGTGATGTCGGTAATCTGGGAGGAGTTCTGCCTGCCTGCCTATTTGCAAAATAATGAGATCAGCCTAAAGTTGCATTGACTATTTCTGAAGTATTTTGGTGAAACGTTGCGCTCCAAGGTGACCTGGAGGCCCACGTCCTGTATCAGATGTCGAAAGGGGCATTTGCCTAAAAGCAAGGTCTGTCAGGCTGATGATGGTTATGCTGCCCTGAGGAATTTAAGCTTTAGTGCGGTTATTGCAAAACTGGCACGATGGTAATGTGTGATACCAGCTAAAAACCTTGAGCAGAAAGTTTCTGCTTCTTCCTTGTGTAAAGGCCTTGGCTGTAGTTTTACAAACTTAGGCTTATTAGGCTTTTTATTAATCGAGTTTGGGGGGGGGGAGGATAGACGTGTTAATTCTGATTCTAGGTTCTACAATTTTTAGTTCAAAGCCTTTGAAATACATGTAGCCTTGTATGTATGTAGTTGCTGCTATTGCTGCAAAGCAAAGGCATCTGGAGAGCTGTTTCACAGGGAGGCATCCTGGTTTAATGCATTGTGAAATTTGCTCCCAAGTGTGACGCTGCTTATCCTGTGAATGTGTGATGGTAGTTCATGGTGTTGCTCTGACCTGACTGCACCTCTGTTCCCGGTGATCAGAGGCAGCTTTGTTTATCATCTGTAAGGCTTCAACGATGTGGAGAAGGAAAGTCTTTCTAAGGGCATGAGTTCCCATGTGCAAGGAAAAGACTTCATGTGGATCAGTTATGAAGAGCGCTAGGTGGGCTTAAATATATGGCTTAGTCTCAGCACGGTCTTTTGTTTGGTTGGGTTTTTTTTTTGATAGGGCTGCTGTAAGCACCCTGGTCTGCTTGCTTGAGGCCTCTGCAAACTGAATGCTTATTCACAATCTTAAAAAAAAAAAAAAACAAAACAACAAACCAAACCAAACAACACCCTTTCTGAAGGAAGGGATCCTTTTTTTCTAAAGAGGTAAAATGCTCAGCAGAGAGATGTGCAAGGGCAAGTCCCCCTCAGTCCTGCTAACACCTCCGGGGTTTCTGGTGTGACACACTGTGGAAAGCCTGAGCAAAGCGTGGGGGTTTTGCCTCCGAGGCAGTTGGCAGCGCAGCTGAAGCTGAGCAGGCAGACACCTTACTGGGACAGAGGTCTGACGGGGAGAAGCTGTGTCAGCTCTGCCGCATTCCTATGGGATCAGCACTCACGTGCCTTTCTATCATGTTCCTGACGTGACCCCGTTAAGAGTAACACTCGCTACCGTGTGAAATTGGTGAGAAGCTGTAAACTAGCTTGGGTCAAAGGCTTGCTGAAGCATCTTCAACATCCTCTGGTTTGCCTCAGCATCCACAGCACAAAGCTGGGCGTCTCCGGCGTTTCACGAGTTGGAGAAGCGGGACTAACTTACGTGCTGTGAAAGGCAGCAACCACGCCAATTACTTAGTAGGTGTAACTCTCGGCACTCGGGTTACACCGACAGCTTTCAACATGCAAAACATCAGGTACAGAGTAAGTAATGAGTAAGGCTACAGGCCAGTCTACTACGCTAGCTTCTTGATTTTTATTTTTTTGCCCTTTCAGTAGAGGCACTGAAGGAGCTTCCCAGCCCATCGCACCGCCTGTACGTGAGCATGTCCTCCAGCTGCGGCCCTTTAGCACTGCGTGCACCAGCGCAGCCCAGGAGCGGGGATTTCCAATAGCAGCGCTGTCGGAGAGGGCGTCTGTCTGTCCAAGCGCTGCAGTTCCAGCACAGCCCTCCCCCGCTGTCCTGTCCTCTCCTCTACCGGAGAAGC